ATCATATTAATAAAAAATATAACTTTGAAAACATCATCAGAATTTCAGATTGCGAGAAATATAGAGGTAAATTGACAGAAATACAAAGAATATGCCGATTCCCGCCGTTAGAATTCCTATACTATATTCACAGAAAGGATATTACTGTGAATTTCTCAGATTTAGATGATAATTGTGAGTTTGTGCGCCGAATTTTCCAGATCAGTCCTTGACCTAGATCCCGAATATTGTCTTAATAAAATAATATATTGTCCAGTCACAATGCATGTTGGCGTGTGCGACATAAATTAACACGTTTTCAATTCTCGTTAAAGTGCATATGATGTAATAGGTGATACTCCACAAATCATCTGTAACTCTGTGTGACTGTTTGTGCAACAAATTAATTTTCACACAAAAGAAATCGATCCCCAAAAATATTTCGAATTTTTTCCCTTACAACATTTGGCCGAATAGCATTTACTGATATGTATTTTTGCTTCAGAGGGACAGGCTCTTTGATACCACTGATTCCGAGCAGAATATATTTATATAATGTTGTCAGATCTTAGTATTAACTATTAAGCGGTCAGGCAAGCGAAAAAAGTCTGTATATGCATTATTTTCAACACCATTCTAAAAGTCGAGATCTTCAATACACATTCTACATGCCGTTATTCTCTAACACAAAATTTTGGCGTAAAAGTCGTTGCATATTCTTCTGTTCGACCCCAACGTGAACTCGGGCTCAGAGAGATGTGAATGAGAAAATTACAAAACATTTAAAAGGGTAGTATACAAATTTTGCTTCCTGCGTTATCTCAGCATATTAACCTTACATTAACATTATACTAATATTATTCTAAATTAACAACGCAAACATGACTGCATTATACGATTTTATTTGCAATTTTCTTCGTATTGCATTACCTGAACATATAACCGCATTTTCAGTAATTTATCAGGCAATGAACGAAGAGCCGTGAATTGTAAAGGAAAATTTAAGGCAAATATTTCATCAAGCAATTACATCCGTTATCCCTTCATATGCATCAAATTCAGAAAAATATCAGAAGCTTATAAGCTTACCCTTAAAGATTAGTAATTAAATTTTTTCGGTAAAAAAACTTAACACTATATGATGAATAGCGCAGAATATAGCCTAATAACTGGAGTGAAGTTGTATCCAAAGCCATACAAGCCCTGGTTTGATCATTAAATATATTAATCCACAGACATATGGGAGTATTTCTTTGCGTATAGTTTGAGATGAAAGCATGTGTCATATAATTTATCATCTATGTACTGGCCACACATAGCTAATAATTTTGCATGATAAAATCTGACGTGTGCGCACACGATTTGGAATAATTATTCATAACGATTAGATCTAACATTTTTTTTTATTCTGTGCTAGTTTGATGACGCTTATGAAGGAATGTGCAGTCTTCGGGATTTTGAGATTGATAGACAGGAAGAAGAATTACCAGACGAGACTATCAAAAATAATTTGCGAATATTGAAAGGGAATCTTAAAAGAAGCAAATCTCGATATGCCAAAATTTTGCGAAAGAGTGTAGGTAAGGTTAAATCCTCAGAACTTTCATGGCGTGATCCACTTGCGAGTCAGGTTCTTAGTAGTGAGATGGAGATGGTTAAGCAATTACCGGAAGAAGAATACGAATCTTTTATGGTAAGAAAAAAATATCCCAATTTATAGAACAAAAAATAATGTTTGAAATGATATTACTAGGAACCGGTGAAATATATGCAAGCGTCTCTTCCTAACTCGATCAAAATAACATGTGACGAATTTTTGATAAACTATGACGATGGTTCTATGGAAATACCACCACAAAAACTTTCACATGAAAATTGGATAGAGAAAGAAGAGGTTTTAAAAGATATTGCGATTAGAATACTTAATACATTGTAAGTATAATATTATTCCATTCATAAGATTATACCATATTGATGTTCCAATACTATTAGGAGGGAGATCTGGAAAAACCCAGCCTTTAGTCCTAAATTCGCTAAAACACAGAGTGAGGGAACATACGTGGCAGACATTATTGTTCCTGTTATTCGAGCTACATTAAAAGATTTGCCAATCGGAAAATCCGCATATATTAGCACGTGAGTTAACTATCTCATTTTTTTCTTGGTGTTTTTTTTTCACGCAGTCACATGATTTTAATTTTCTAACACTGCAGGGCGGAACGTCAAAGCGTGGCTAGCAAAGACAGAAGAGGAGGGAAAGGAAAGCGCCCAGACATTATGTTCATAGCGAAGCATATGG